CCATAATAATACTATTATGGATAGTATTATACTATTATGGATAGTATAATACTATTATGGATAGTATACAAACTCACCATATTGTTTATCATTCCATAGTATTCCATTTTATTTATGGACCGCATTTTGTTTATGCAGTTATCCGTTAATGAACACTTAGTTCATCCATTGATAAACACTTAAGGTGTTTCCATCTTTTTGCTTTGGTGAATAATTCCACAATGAACAGGGTGTACTCTTTATTTCTCTAGGACATATGTCTAGGAGAGAGATTGCTGGATCATATAGTATTTCTAGTTCTAACTTTTGAGGAACCGCTATACCATTTTCCATAGTGGTTGTGCCATTTTACTATTCTACCAGCAGTGTATAAGAATCCCAGTCTCCCTGCAACCTCACCAGCTTTGTTGTTTCTGTTTCGTTTTGTTTTTAATTGTGAATTGAGTGATAGTTTACATGGGAGAACATCAGTTTTACACTCATCCTATCGTATTTTGTTTCATTGCAATGATTAAAATCCCTTCCATGCATCATCATTCAACAGTTTTTGCTTCTATTTCCTGTTTTTTTGGACGCACACCAAAACACTCAGGAATATATAGTCATTTAAACAACCAAAGGGCACATTCTACAAGTCTGCCTCTTGGCTGCCAGCACATAGCCAGTTTCTGTTTTTTTGATCAGTGACACTTTTGCAAGGGTGTGAGATGGTATCTCATTGTAGTTTTGAATTGGATCTCTCTAATGGGTAATGTTTGCAAGCATCCCTTCATGTGTTTGTTAGCTGCTTTCTTGGTGGTCTGTTCTTGTCCTTTGCTCATTTTTTTATTGCATTGTTTATCTTTTTGTTGGGTGGTGTTGATATTTTCTATATTTTAGAGATTAGACTCTTATCAGCTATTAAAAAAATTTTTTTTTTCCCTCAAACTTTAGGTTCTCTTGGACTGGTAAGATCTTTGGATGAGCATAGGTATTTAATTTTTAGGAGGTCCCAGTTATCTAGTTATCTTCTGTTGTTTGTACATTTTTAGCTTTGTTTGATACAGTATTTTTTCCCAACAGAATAGAATTTTATCTATGGATTATGTAAAGCAGCTGGCACTATTATACTTATAGAGATACACATACATATTGTCATACTAAAAGATGCTAATATCTGGTTGGTATAACTAGAGGGATTTTTCTTTTCATTTATTCATTTATGCTTATCTTTTTATTTAGTATGATAGTATATATTTTTTGCCATAAATTAGAATACTAGACTTTGGCCTTAAGCTATCTTCCAGACACTTTTTAGTTTTAGGTTTGATTTTTGGGTTCTTTATTTATTTTGAGTTACATGGTCCTGTTTCATTTTTTTGCAGGTGGATATCCAGTTTTTCTAGAACCATTATTTGCTAAAAGAGTGCCTCTTTCTCATTGAATAGACTTTTACCCATTGTCAAAGATCAACTGTCCATAAATCGATGGACTTGCTACTGGTTGTCAATTCTGTTCCATTGGTCTATGTGTTTGTTGTTGTATTGGGACTGGACTGTGTTGGCTACTATGGTAAGTTTCTGGGAGGGAAGTTTGAGTCCTTCTACTTTGTTCTTCAGTATTGCTGTAGTTATTCGGGGCCTCTTTCCATTCATATAAAGTTGGAGATTCATTTTTCCATTGTGCTAAAGATTGTTGTTGGGATTTGGATTAGATTGTGTTATATCTATAGATTACTTTGGGTGGTATTGACATTGTCATAATGTTAAATCATCCAGTCTATGAGCACAATTTATTTTTCCATTTATGTAGTTCTCTTACGTCTTTTTGCAGTAGTGTTTTGTCGTTTTCTTGTGTAAATCTTTTACATCCCTGGTTAGATTTATTCCTAAGTATTTTATCCTTTTGGGGCTACTGTAAGTGGTGTTTTTTTCTTGATTTCCTTGTCAGAGTTCTCCTTTTTAATGCAGAGGAATCTAATTTTTGTATGTTGATCTTGTACACTGCTACTTTGCTGAAACCTTTTATTAGTTCCAGTATGTCTTGTGGAATTTCTGGGATTTTTATACACAAAGCATACCTTGGAGGTACTGTAAGGTTGGTTCCAGACCACCGCAATGAATCAAATATAATAAAGTAAGTCACACAAATGTTTTGATTTCCCAGTGCAAATAAAAGTTATGTCTGCACTCTACTGTAGCCTATTAAGTATGCAGTAGCATTATGGAAGAGTTTGAAACAGTATGAGAATTGCCCGAATGTGCTACCGAGACATGAAGTGAGTGCATGCTGTTGGAAAAATGGCGCCCATAGACTTGCTCGATGTTGGGTTGCCACCAACCTTCAATTTGTCAAAAACCCAATGTCTGTGAAGCACAATAGAACAATGGAAGCTTGTATAGGATCATGTACTCTGCAAATAGGGATCGTTTTTACTTCTTCCTTACCAATTTGGACACCCTTTATTTCGCTTTCTTGCCTTACGGTTCTGGTTAGGACTTACATACAATGTTAAATAGGAGTGGTGATCCTGGGTGTCCTTGTCTCGTACTTGTTCTCATGTGGAATGCTTCTAATGTCACTTCCATTCAGAATGAAGGCACACCTAGTTTTATTGCGCTCTTCTTTATTGTGCTTGGCAGATAGATATTTCACTTTTTACAAATTGAAAGCTTGTGGTAACCCTGAATCGAACAACTCTCTCGGTGCTACTTTTCCAACAGCAAGTGTTCCCTTCATGTTTCGGTGTCACATTTTGGTCACTCTCACAAGATTTCAAAGTCTCACTTTGCCTTTGCCCACTTAATATAGTGTAAACATAACTTTTATATGCACTGGGAAACCAAAGAATTTTTGTGATTTGCTTTATTATGATATTTTCTTTATTGTGGGGATCTGGAACCTACATTATCTCCCAGGTATGCCTGTAATGTTGGCTGTTAATTTCGTATATATACCCTTCATTATGTTGAGGAATTTTTCTTCTCTTCCTATTTTGCTGAGAGTTAATATTCGTTCTGCTGTGCATAAGGTCGCTATGGGTCAGTGCTGACTCGGTGGCACCTAACAACAACAACAACAAATTATCAGGAAAAGATGGTGGATTTTATTCAGTGTGTTTTCTGCATTGACTGAGATGATGATGTGGTTATTTACCTTTGTCTTACTTATGTGGTGAATTATGTTGATTGCTTTTCTGATGCTGACCCACCTTTGCATCTCTGGTATGAATTCCACCTAATTGTAATGTTTTGTTGTTGTTGCTATTGTTGTTTTGATATGCTGTTGAATTCTGTTGGCTCAAATTTTGTTGAGAATTTTTCTGTCTATGTTCATGAGGGATATTCGTCTGTAGTTTTCTTTTTTTGTTTGGAGAAATTGATTTTTTAGATGAGGTGGCCAGAGAGAGCCTTTTCTGAAGAGGTGACGTTGTTAAGTTTCACTGAGTGATTTCTGTCTTAATAGAGATCCTGTGTTAGAGTCCATCCGCCACACAGAGTTTTCTAAATGGTTATCTTTACAGAAGCAGATTGCCAGGTCTGTCTCCCCCAGAGTCGCTGGGTGGGTCCAAGCTGCCAACCTTTTGGTTCACACTTAATGTTTGAGGTGAGAAAATGCTGGTGTCTGGGGAAAGTGTTCCAAGTATAGAGGGACCAGCACGTACAAAGGCCCTGAGGTGGGAAGGGTGCTTGGTGTATTTGAAGGACAGCAAGGAGATGGTGTGATTGGAGTTGAAAGGGAGAGTTGAAATGGGTCAGGGAGGTGAAGGGGCCAGAATGCATGGAAAGAACTTCAGTGGTAGCTTAGTGATTTAATGCTGCTGTAACACAAATACCACAGATAGACAGCTTTAACAAACAGAAATTTATTTTCTCCCAGTTTAGGAGACTAGAAGTCTGAATTCGGGTTGCCAGGTCTAGGGGAAAGCTTTCTGTCTCCGTTGACTCTGGAGAGAGGTCTTTGTCTCTTTCAGCTTCTGCTCTGCTCCTGGATCTTCGTGTGGCTTGACATGCATCTTCCTATATCTCTGCTCTGCTTGTTTGTACAATTGCTTTTATATCTCCAAAGATGTTGACTCAAGATACACCCTACACTAATCATGTCTCCTGCATATAACCAAGACAACCCATTCCAAAATGGGATTATAATCACAGACACAGAAGTTAGGGTTTATAACACATATTTTGGAAGGACATAGTTCAATTCATAACAGATGGCTACTCTGAGCAAAACAGGGAGCCACTGAGGAGGTCAGAGGAGTGTGCAGCATGGTCTGGTTATTCTCTGAAGCAAATGGATCACTTTGTTTAATTTGACCCCTCATTCGTTCATCTCTCAACAAGTATTTACTGAACACTAGTGCCAGTTCCCTAGCACTGGACTGCTAACCTTAAGGTTGGTGGTTCATACCTACCAGCTGGTCCTTGAAAACCCTGTACAGGGTCGGTAAGAGTTGACCACACTTAACAACAGTGTCATATGCTGCTCAAGTGCTGGACACCTTGACTTACACTTAAGTCTGTTCTAGAGTACTGCCCCCTGGGCTGAGCAATGAACCCCTACAATCCTGGGGCACCAAGGCCAAGTCAGTGTGAGGGGCTGGGGTCTGTGGACACTCCCAAAGCAGGCTTTCTGGCCCAACTATGGCTAATTTACAGGCCATGTGCTCATGATGAGCTACAGTCCCTACCTGGCAGGATTACTGTGCAACAGCCAAATGGAATGACGTGCAGGGACGTGCACGTGTGCACAGGACAAGAAATACCTTTGCATCCCTGTGACCATCAGGGACCAGAATCACAGGGAAGAAGAGGGTCTTCTCTTTTTTTTCTGGGCAAGTTTGCTCTCCTATTAAAGCTTCAGGCAGCCAGTTCCATCCTGCGCATCACGAGGAACCCAGTACTAATTATAACAAAGTTTGAGAACTCTTTATTCCCTATGATTTTGTAGTAAATTAGAGCCGATTCACGACTGTCCCTACAATTATGCCAGAGTGCCTGCTGAGTGAGAAAAGGGTGGGGTCACAGTTCGGGAGGAAGGTTTGCCTCACCTTTGGTGCCTGTGGGAAAGTATTGGGAGACAATGTCACCCCAGTAGGGAATTAAGGCTCAGAGCCACTTCCGGGCACCCAGAGCACCTTTGAGTGCTTGACACTAAAGCTTCTGTACTATGTTCTTTCTCAAGGGGTGTCCCACAGACACTAGCTCCACCGCATGAGTTCTGGGAAACAGACTGCTCCAAGCCCCTCCCAGAGAGTTCTAATGGCCTTTAGGGTGTTTAAGGCTCTGACGAATCCTGCCGCCAAGAGACTGGTTTGATTTGATTTAATATAATGTTTCCCAAGGTGGTTTTTAACCATGGGGTTGCTGTGAAAAAGAAAAACAAGAAAGAGTTTAGCAGGTAGTACCATTTACCACGAAGAACATGTGTCTTGGGAATTTCAGGAGAGGAAATCTCTGGCTCCCAGGCCAACCCAGGCTGAGGCATGCTTAAGGCAGAAGTAGGTGATGAAGATAGGGGTTTCTTGAAGGAGATAGGATGGGAGAATGGAGACCTCAAGTTGGACTTTGAAAAGAAGGAAAGGGTCACAAAAGAGCCTGTGTTCCAGACACCAGGGGAAAAGAAAGTACACAGAAGGAAGGAGAGAATCTAGAAACTCCCAGGCCCTGTTGTTGGCTTCATGGTTAACATTGCTTTTGCTCTCTTACTTGACTGAGGGGACAGAATTCGAGGAAGGTGGGCTGAGAAGGGAGAGTTCACTGAAAGGGTCTCCTGGTTTGTGCATATTCCCTCACCTCATTCAACCCCCATTCCTTCAGGATTAAGAACCCCAGATGACTGTCAGCCCCCACATTGTTCTTCTACCCACCTCTCTGCCTTTGGAAGTCCCTCTACCCTCATTCTCTATGCCCCATGCCCACTCCCCTCAAATGCCCCTGAACTAATAAAAATAAAGGCTAATAATAATAATAGTTAGACTCGTACATTACTAAGCACCAGACACTCTTCTAAGTGCCTTAAGTGTGTTAATGAATTCATCTTTAAATAACCTTGTGGGAAGGTATTAGCATCACCCCATTTTTAAGATGAGCAAACAGACCCAGAGAAGTTAAGGGACACAACTAGAAAGTTGTTGTATGCCATTGAGTTGATTCCTACTCTTAGTAACCCTGTGTGGCAGAATAGAACTGCCCCATAGAGTTTCCTAGACTGTCATCTTTATGGAAACAGATTGCTAGATCTTTCTTCTGAAGAGCCACTGTTGTTGTTAAGTGCTGTTGAGTCAGTTCTGACCCATAATGACCCCATATGGGGTTTCCAAGGAGCAGTTGGTGAGTTTGAACCTCTGACTTTGTGGTTCAAACTGACCTTGAGGTCCAGTGCTTATCCTACAGGTCACACCAGAACTCTTGAGTAGATTCAAACCACAGACCTTTTGTTAGCAGCTGAGCACTTAACCATTGCTAGAAATGCAGTGGAGCCTAGAGGTATCTGAGCCTTAAGGTGGTATGAGAGGATTGATGTAGTATCTAAATGGGCAAATCCTAGCTGAGGCAGTAAGTTGCTGTCTGACTTTCCTGGACCACTTGCCCTTTCTAGAGTTCAGTCTTCCCATTGGTAAAATGAAGGGAGTGGAATCTAATATAGGATCTTCCTTCAATCAACCTATCTTCTCAGACCCCTTCCAGACCCCATAGGCCTCCTGGGACCCTGTGAGGGCCAGGCCTGACACTGTCCATCACTACAGCAGCTCCTCCCTCACCCTGGTGATGCCTGGCTACCAGCGGCCTGCAGAAGAGGTTTCTGAGCCCTGCCCGAAAAGGGCGAGAGAGGTAGAAGCAGAGGATGGGACTAACGGCACAATTGGAGTAGGCCAGGATGGTACAGAGGCTGGAGGCCACAAAAGTCCCCTTTGTGTCAGGCAGGCCGCCCACAGCTGCCACATAGCCCAGCACGGAGCAGGGCCCCCACATCAGTATGAAGACCACAAGCACCACGAGGATGAGTCCTGTGTTCTCTTGATGCTCCCGGATGCTCTCTCCAACGGGCCCGTGGGGCTGTGTCCACATGAGCCAGCCTACGTGGCTGAAAGAGCAGCTCAGCCCCAGTACACAGGGCAGGAAGGCCAGGGCTCCCAGAAGGGTGAAGTAGCAAGAGGTCCGAGCAGGGCTCAGGAGCAAGAGGCAGATCCGGTCCTCAGGGCCTCCCACTACCTCCTCCTCCACTACCACCTGCTGGAACAGCCAATTGGGCAGTGATGTAGTGATGCCCAGGACCCACATGGTCCCACAGAGCAGCAGCCGGGGGCCCCAACCAGCTGGAAGGGCCACGTCAGGCCGGGACACAGCCAGGTGGCGCAGGAGAGCCGTGGCCACCATGCTGTAGAAGGTACAGAACATGGTGGCTGTGTTGGCGGCCTGGCTAGTGGTGCAGATGGTGGGACCCAGCCACCAGTCTCGTCGTAGGAAGCTCAGCAACAGCACAGGCACCACGCAGAACAGGAAGAGCAGGTCAGACAGCGTGATGTTCACCATGAGGCTGTTGGTCAGAGCAAGGAGAGGGCGGAGGGCCACGGGACCCCGGCCCAGCACCAGCAGCATGAGCCCATTGACCAGCAGCCCCACCAGCAGGATGAGACCGCAGATCATGGCAAAGCCGAGGCGAAGCAGTTGCTCAGAGGTGGCTGTGAATGTGGTGGTGAGCGTGGTGTTGGGCTCCAGTCCAGGCTCCATCCTCCTGTCTCCAACACACAAGGAAGGAATAGGAACCAGCCCCAGAGCTGCCTCCCGTTTTCCCATGAAAAGAAACCAAATCCAAACCTGTGGCCGTCGAGTCCAAGTCATGGCGACCCTCTGTGTTACAGAATAGAACTGAACTCCATGGGGGTTTTGGGTTGTGATCTTTATGGAAGTAGATCCTCAGGCCCTTCTCCCATGGTGCAAATGGGTGGATTCAAATTGTTGAGTGCAAATCGTTTGGGCGACCCAAGGACCATGTGGAAAAACAAAAGGGAACTTTTCCCATATAAGCCCCCCTCATTTCACAGACTAGGGAGGCCTGGTGGCATTGTGGTCAAGCACTCAGCAGCTAGCTGAGAGGTTGGTAGTTTGAACCCAGAAGGAGCAGCTCTGAGGAAGACAGACCTGGCAATCTATTCCTGTAAAGGTGACAGGGAAAACAACTCCGGGCAGTTTTATTCCATCGCATGAGGTCACTATTCGTTGAAATGAACAGGATGGCACCTATCTGCTGCCCTTTTCAGAGCTCCACTCATAGTGGACCCAGACATATGTACATAGTAGTTCACTTAGACCTCACAACAGCTCTGAGGACGCTGCGTTCAAATCTAGCCTCTGCTACTTAGTAGCACTGTTGTCTTAGGAAAGTAACTTAATGTTGTGAACCTCAAGGTCAGCAATTCGAAACTACCAGTGGTTCCATGGGAGAAAGATGAGGCTTTCTGTCCTGTAAAGATGTACAGCCTCGGAAACCCTGTACAGGGTCACTATAACTCGGAACCGACTCCATGGCACTTAACAACAACAACCTTCATTTCCTTAACTGTGAAGAAATAAGGAACTAGAGAAATAAACAGGTGCCAACAATAATTGTCACTAAGCAGAGAGGTTCGGGTAATTTCCATGTTCTGTGTTCTAAAATTTTGCAGTCTGATAATAAATATTTGCTGCTGTTAAGTGCTGTTGAGTAGGTTCTGACTCATAGTCACCTTGTATTGGGTTTCCAAGGAGCGGCTGGTGAAATTGAACCGCTAACCTTGTGGTTCAAAGCAACCTTTTGGTTGAGTGCTTATCCTGCAGAGCCACACCATCAGATGAAAAATTACAGTGTGTGTTTTTATAATCTAGTAAATGAATGTTACGGATATTTTATAACAAAACCCTGTCTTCCTGTTTCACAGATTTGAGGCTTACATGAGAAAATGGATATGTGAAAAGGCTTTGAGAAGATAGATGCATTTGAAAAACACTCTTGTACATTAGGGTCACCTAGGGGGCTTTGTGGTTACAAATCGGGCTGCAAACCTCAAGGTCAGCAGTTCAAAACTACCAGCTGTTCTGTGGGAGAAAGATGAGGCTTTCTGCTCCCGTAAAGACTTACAGCCTTGGAAACCCTGTACAGGGTTGCTATGGGTCAGAACTGACTCCACGGCACATAACAACAACAACAAGGGAGTTGTTTAGGAGTCCTGGTGTGGCACTGTGGACTAATGTGCTGGACAGTACAGTCGGTTTGAATTGCGAAGTCGGTGGTTCAAACTCATCAGCCGCTCCTTGGAAACCCTATACAGGGTCGCGATGGGTCAGAACCGACTTGACAGCACTTAACAACAACAACAAAAGGGGGCTTTAAAAATACCGATATCTGGGCCCCAACCCCAAAGATATGATTTAATTGCCTGGACTTTGGCGGTTCTTTCAGGTTCCCCAGATGGTACTAACGTATAGCCCATTCTAGAGGTACTGTCCCTTAGCTGGAATGCCCTGGGAGCACACTTCCTGACTGGATCTGCGTTGTGCTGGTTGCTTGAAAGGACTTGGGGGGATGCCCTCACCCCCACTCCATCCTACATGCTGAGCTCCTGATCGAGAGAACCCAAGCTGGGAGGTAGGGTCTGGACATCTCAAAGTCAACCCTGGAGCCAGGTCAGAACCTACAAGCTTTAGATGAGGAGAGGCAGCCAGCTTGGAGGTCTGCTTATTAGCTCTGGAACTATTTCCTGAACGTTTACACTGGGTCAAGCATTTGAGTCCTGACTGAGTCCCAACCCCTTTTTTCCTACACTGGGAGGGGGAGCTGGAGGGACCTCTCTGGAGCTGTCCAAAGCCAGGCCTGAAGGGGTTCCAAAACCTCTCTGTAGAGTCTCTCTCAGAGACTAGTTGGGTTGGTTTCTCAGGCAACTTGTTTGAGGAGAGACTGGATTCTCTAACTTCTGGTCTCAGCACCCCTCCAGGGTTTCGGATTGGTTCCAGGCAATGCAGGGGAAGGAGGAAATGAGGGACTAGCCTAGATTCCCTAACTTCCCCCATGAGTTCCGTCTCAGGCCCACTCTCCTGGCTTTTGTCACTATTTTTTCATTTCTTCCCTTTGGTCCAGACCTTCATGCCAAGGAGGACTTGGAAGATTACAGGGCAGAGGGAGGGGAGGGAGGTAACTGAAAGGCTTACTGGGCCTGGTCCCTGCTCCACCTAAATGTCCATTGTGGTTGTTATGTGCCATGGAGTTGGTTCCAACTCATAGCGACCCTGTACAGGGTTTCCGAGGCTGTAATTTCCTTAGTAAAGCAACGCTATTGGAAACCCTATGCAGAGTCGTTATGAGTCAGAACCGACTCCAAAGCACACCGCCACCACCACCAAACAGCAGTGAGTCTTGGTGTGGCGCTGTAGGATAAACACTCGACCCCAAGTTTGGGTTGAACCTCAAGTTCAAACTCACCAGCTGCTCCTTGGAAACCCTATACAGGATCTCCATGAGTTGGAACTCACTCTACGGCACTTACTAACAACAACACATACTTTGTCCTATAGGGTCGCTGTAAGTTTGAATCAATTCAGCGGCAGTGGGTTTAGTTTTGGTTTTACCATTCTGACTCTCAGTTCCAGAAAGCTCTATTCCGTAACACCCTTGACCAACCTGCATTCCATTCCCCTGTCCTCCCCGCCCCCCTTCACACCTGAGCCCCATCAGCCCAGTCCCACCCTCCTTTTCTTAATCAGTCTCAAGCTAAGTTGTGACCAAAGCCCCTTAACTAATGCTACGAGAACTCACCACTGGTCCGGAAATTCACTTTGCAGTCTACTTGGAGTCCTTGCAGCTCTTCTCACCAGTCTCGTGCTTCTGTGAGGTTCTTGAGCCCTGCTTGCTGACCCCTTGATGCTGGAAAACAGGGGCTGGTGATCCCTCAGCTGTGCCCAGCAGAGAAGGTGGCTCTAGCCAGAGGAGGCTAAGAGAGGGTCTGGGCAGTGTGCCATCCCTTCCAGAATCCTGCTTCTATGGAACCTGAACTGGCTGCCTGGAGGCTGGAGCAGAGCTGAGATAGGAGGGGCAGCCCAGGGGGCCATGCCCACCCTGGGCCCCTCAAAGGACAGGAGCTCTGTCAGTCCCTGGCTCCCCAATGAATCACACCCTGCCTACTTGCCTCATTAACTCCCTAGCCCACAGACAGAGCTGTTGATGCTTGCCTGGCCTCCTGGACCTCAGAGCAATTGCTACTGGCAACAGCTGGACCTGCTCTCACCCTCACCCAAAGCTGGGCATTACTCTATCCAGCCCACATGTCTCTCTCTCTCTCTGTGCCTCTCTACACACCGTTGTTATTGTTCCAACTTCAGTTCTGACTCACAGTGACCCTGTGTATAGCTTCTGAGGAGTGGCTGGTGAATTTGAACCACCAACCATGTGGTTAGCAACATACCAAGACTCCTTGGAGATTAAATGGGCCCTGCTAAAAGCGACTAATTCAACTCTTGGTGACTTCTGATGCTTGGATCCCTCCAACTCCACCTCTGTTTGTATACCTCTAAGTGACAGAAAACTCACTACTACTGTGACACCTCTGTTAGAACTAGGAAGAAGGATGGGACCAGGACCTGCAGAGACTGGGATTAAATAGTTAGGAACAAGGTGCTGTCCTCTAGTTCCTTTTCTCTCTGTTTCTCGGACATTCTCTTTCTGCATCTTTGTCTCTTGAACACGCTTCACTTGTCTAGCTATGAAACCAGGGTTTCCTCTGATTCACCTGGGGTCTTCATCAGCATGGGAGTGATGAGGAAGTACCAAACTCACTGTTTGTGCCCAGCAGACCCTCAGTGCATGGTGGGCGTTATGTGGCCAGTGGTACGAGAGGATGACTAGCATTTGCAGCAAACACAAATGATAGCATATAGAGCAACACTGGGGGCAGGGTTGTCTCAAAGGCCCCCAAAGCAAGCTCCCCAAGGGCACAGAAACCCCAGCCCTGGATTACAACATGCTGCAGACTTTCAGGAGGTGATGTTGGACAATGTTCCAAAAGTAACTCTAGAAAAAGCTCCAAATTGGAGCTCATGAGCAACTCTGACACTACTTTCATCGGCTGTTTCCTGGGCCCCACCAGTCACACCCAAACTGCACCCTACATGGATCCAGTGCCAACACCTCAGGGCAAAGGGCTGCACCAGGGACACTGGCATTGGGGTTGGAACAGGTGTACCAGAATGTGACCCCTTCCATGTGGAGCATAGGAAAGGCAGTGGGGTTGGGGATCAGGGAGATGGAACATTGGGACATATCAGAACCTGATTTTTCCTCTAGGATTGGATTCTACTTAGAGCAAACCCCACACTTGCAAAGAAATACAGTGCATGAAGCAAGGTTCAGTGGTGGAATTCATGGCTTCCATGTAGGAGACCTGGGGTTCCGTTCACTTCAGGTGTAGCCACAACCATCTGTCAGTGGAGGCTGGCATTTCTACAGACAGGTTTCAGCTCAGCTAGGGCTCTGCATCTGAGAACTAGCTCGTGAAAACCTGATGGATGACAACAGTCTGATCCTCAAATGATCAAGGGGATGGCGCAAGACTGACGTCATTTCTTTCCATTTTGCTGTGATTTGGGGACTGACTCCCACGGCTGCTAACAATGTCCAGCCACAGGACAGAGCAATGGGTAACTAATTATCTTGTTATTGTTAGGTACCATTGAGTTGGTACCAATGCATAGTGACCCTACGCATAACAGAACGAAACATTGCCCGGTCCTGGGCCAACCTCACAGTCATTGCTATGCTTGAGCCCATTGCTGCTGCCACTGTGCCAGTCCATCTCGTTGGAAGCCTTCCTCTTTTTCTCTGACCCTCCACTTTAACTAGTATGATGTACTTCTTCAGGGACTGGTCCCTACTGATAATCTGTCCGAAGTATGAGAGACAAAGTTTAACCACCCTGGCTTCCAAGGAGAACTCTGACTGTACTTCTTCCAACACAGATTTGTTTGTTCTTTTGGCAATCCATGGTACTTTTAATATTCTCCTCCAACACCATAACTCAATTGCATCAATTCTTCTATGTTCTCCCTTCTTAACTGTCCAACTTTCAAATGCATATGAGGTTATTGAAAATACCATGGCTTGGGTCAGGCGTGCCTTAGTCTTCAAACTGACATCTTTGCTATTCAACACTTTAAAGAGGATTTGTGCAACAGATTTGCCCAATGCAATACCTCACTTGATTTCTTGGCTGCTGCTTCCATAAGTGTTGGTGGGTGATCTGAGCAAAATGAAGTCTTTGACAACTTCAATCTTTTCCCATTTTTATGGATGTTATTTATTGTTTCAGTGGTGAGGATTTTTGTTATCTTTACATTGATATGCAACCCATACCAAAGGCTGAGGTCTTTGATCTTCATCAATAAGTATTTTAAGTCCGCTTTCAGCAATCAAGGTTGTATCATCTGCATATTGCCTCAGGTCATAAATGAGTTTTCCTATAATCCTCATGCCATGTTTTTCTCATGTATTCCAAATTCTTGAATTATTTTTTCAGCATACAGATTGAATAAGTATGGTAAAAGAATACAACCCTGGTACACACCTTTCCTAATTCTAAACCATTTGGTGTTCCCTTGTTCTATTCGAACAACTGCCTTTTGGTGTGTATACAGGTTCCTCATGAGCACAATTCTCCAAAATGTTGTCCATAGCTTGTCATGATCCACACAATCAAAAGCCTTTGTGTAGTCAATAAAGCACAGGTAAACATCTTTCTGGTATTCTCTGCATTCAGCCAAGATCCATCTGACATCAGAAATGATATCCCTTGTTCCATGTCCTCTTCTGAATCTGTCAATATATGGTTGCAACCATTTTAGAATTATCATTAGCAAAATTTTGCTTGCATGGGATATTAATGATATTGTCTGATGATTTCTGCATTCCGTTGGGTCTCCTCTCTATCTCTTCCTGTCAGTTAGCCAGGTAGTTTTCTTCCAAATTTTTTGGCATAGATAAGTCAATTCCTCTAGTGCCGCATCACTTTGTTGAAAGATTTCAATTTGTATTCCATCAATTCCCAGAGCCTTGGTCTTTGCCAGTGCCTTCAATGCACCTTGGACTTCTTCCTTCAGTATCATTGGCTCTTGACCATATGCGACCTCTTGAAATGGTTGAACATTGATCATTTCTTTTTGATACAGTGACTCTGTGTATTCCTTCCATCTTCTTTTGATGCTTTCTGCATCATTCAATATTTTGTCCAGAGAATCCTTCAATATTATATGTTAAGGCTTGAATTTCCTCAACTTGAGAAAGGCTAAGCATGCTCTTCCCTTTTGGTTTTCTAACTTCATGTCTTTGCACATTTTTAAAATAATACTTGAGTTTGTTCTCTTGAGCTGCCTTTTGAAATTTCCTGATTTCTTCCATTTGCTTTAGCATCTCTACACTGGAAAGCAAGTTACAAGGTCTCTCCTGACATCCATTTTGGTCTTTTCCTTTTTTCTTGTCTTCTTAATGACCTTTTGCTTTCTTCTTGTATGATGTTCTTGATGTTATCCCACAAATTTTCTGACCTTAAGTCATTAGTGTCTAATGCATCAAATCTAATCTTGAGATGATCTCTAAATTCAGGTGGGATATGTTCAAGGTCATATTTTGGCTCTTGTGGACTTATTTTCATTTTCTCGAGCTTCAGCCTAAACTTGCATATGAGCAATTGATGGTTCCACAGTTTGCCCTGGCCTTGCTTTGGTTGATGATATGGAACTTTTCCACTTTTTCTTTCCACGATATAGTCAATTTGATTTCTGGTGAGGCCCATATGTATATTCGTCTTTTATGTTGTTTAAGAAAGGTATTTGCAATGGAAAAGTCATTGGACTTGCAAAATTCTATCATGCAATCTCCAGCATCATTTCTATCATCAAAACCGTATTTTCCAACTACTGATCCTTCCTCTTTGTTTCTAATCTTGCCATTCCAATAGTCAGTAATTATCAATACATCTTGATTGCATATTTGATCAATTTCAGACTGAAGTTGTTATTGTTGTTAAGTGTCGTCTAGTTGGTTCCAACCCATAGCAACCCTGTATAGGTTTCCAAGGGGCAGCTGGTGAGCTTGAACCGTTGACCTTGTGGTTCAGACCGACTGAGGTCCATGTGTATATTTGTTTTTAATGTTTTTTTAAAAAGGTATTTGCAATGAAGAAGTCATTCTGAAATTGGTAGAATTCTTTAATGGTTGGTGCGTAAATGTGATTATAGTGGTATTAACTGGTCTTCCTGATAGGTATATGGGTATCATCCTATCACAGTGGGTGGCTTTAACAAACAGAAAATTATTTTCTCCCAATTTAGGAGCCTAGCAGTCCCAATTCAGGATGCCAACTCCAAGGGAAGACTTCCTTTCTGTGTAAACTCTAGAGGAAGGTCTTTGTCTCTTTCAAGCCTCAGTTCCTAGACAATCTTCATGTGGCTAGACATCTCTGTTTTCCCATCTCTGCTTACCTAATCTGCTGTGTTTATCTCTTGTAAGAGATTAACTAAAGACACACCCTGTACTAATTCTGCCTGGTTAACATCACAGAAAACTCATTTTCAAATGGGATTAGAACCACAGAATGGAGGGCTAGAATTTACAACAAAATTTTGGGGGTATACAATTCAATCCATAACATTACACAACATTAATTATTTATCAGCGCTAAATCAAGCTCATTGAAAATGTTCTTCTCCCCTTTCAATATATATATATATATTCTGATTATAAAAGGAACATGCAGCTGTTGTAGAAAATCTGAAAATACAAATATGCATAAAAAGGAAAATAAGTCCCTGACATATTTCCTCTATCATTTCACTACCTGGAGATGTGTGGTCAATATTTTGATGTATTTCCCTTAAGTATGTTTTATAGATTTTTCCATTTTTTAAAAGGGTTTTAAACATCCTCCTCCACCCCACACTTCTGGCATTATTAATCAGCAAAGTCCTTCTTCAGAGTGGAATCCGAGTCTTGAGGTGGTGAGGATTTTCCTGAACCTCCCAGCGGGTCCATTCTGCCCAAGATGTGGCCAGCCAAGAGAATGGAAGGGCAAGAGATCCATTCGACCCTGGCCAGCCCCGGTGATCAGGAGCAGCAGCCAGATCTCTTTGGTGGCTTCTCAGGGGTCACGTCCACCAACGAGCCCTTCAGGTGGTCTTCTTGCATCCTCAGTGACCTGCATGGCAACACATAGGCCTCAGTCCTCCCTCCCACCTCCCACTGGTGCATGCAGGGCAGACTGGTAGGCTTCCCATCCTACCTGCCCTTCCCCACCCTGAACTTTCACGGCACCAGAAAAACAGGGACACAGGTGATATTGGCCTTCCGTCTCTTTGCTGACACTCATTCATGCCTGTTATGTGCCAGGCACTATGCCAGAGTGATATGACAAAGACACCAATACATCTCTGCCTTGACTGGTGAGGGCAACGGGTTGGGAAGGGGGCCAGTGCACCCCAGGAATGAATGATAGATTGGGGAACACACAAAGGGACTTCACAGAGAAAAAGGTAGTGGTGCCTGAGCTTCAGCCTGACGGGTGAACAAGGGTTTGCTGGCCAAGGGCAAAAGCTTAGTGTCAAGAGAGAGCTCGGAGATTGAGGGGGTAAAAGAAGCCTATTCATTCATTCATTCATTCATTCATTCATTCATTCATTCATATATTTCCTGTGTGCCAGGCACTGTACTAGGTCACAGAGCCTAAGGGCTGAATGGTCAGAGAAGAGATTCAGACAGCAGGAGCCCAGGGCTCCCCGGGCCCCAGAAACCACATTCAGGAATTTGGGCTTTTATCCTAAGGAGCTCTGGTAGTGTAGTGGTTACGAATCGGGCTGCGAACCTTAAGGTCATCGGTTCGAAACTACCAGCTGCTCCGCTTTCTACTCCCGTAAAGATTTACACCCTCAGAAACCCTGTACAGGGTCGCTATGGGTCGGAACCGACTCGACGGCACTTAACAACAACATCATAAAGCAAAGGGAAGCCACTGAACAGTTTCATTCAGGAGAGCCTGGAGGAGTGACCAGGTTTGCAGACCAGCAAGCTCACTCATCTGGCTCCTGTATCAGAGACAGGGTCTTCTAACACCCTCCTACCTCTTACTCATTTCATTTGTATACTGAGCACCCACTATGTACCAGGCCCTAAGAATGGGGCCAGGGGGTAGGGTATGTGTGAACAAAACAGACATTGGCTTGCCCTTTCAGAGCTACAGCTGAGTGTGAGAGACAGACAATAATCAGAAACACAGACAAATGCTTGTTGAGACTATGAAAGATACAAAGAAAGCACCGTGATGGAGAATAGTGATAGGGAAGATGCTCAGAAGGGGCCTCTCTGAATTGAAACTTGAAAGATGTTTTGTGCCATCATAGGGACCCTACAGGACGGAGTATAACTGTCCCCAGAGGGTTTCCAAGGCAGACTGCATTATCTTGCTGCTGCTAATGGGCTGGTGGATTCAAACTGCTGATCTTTTGGTTAGCAGCTGAGTGCTGTAACTATTTTGTTACCAGGGCTCCTTTTGGAAAGATGAGAGGGAATCAGTTATGTGAGGGGAGGGGCAGTCTTGGCAGAGGAAAGAGCAGGTGCAAAGGCCCTGAGGCAGGAAATCCATGGAGACTGGAGCCTGGTGAGTGTGAGTGGTGTAGGTGAGGGAGGTGCCTGTGTAGGGATGGGGGAGGTGGCATGAAAGATGATACAGGGCACTGGGAGCCTCCTGTATTTTCTTTTAAATCCAGTGGAAATCCTGGAAGGTTGAGAGCAGAAGAGTGGCACTTTCTCTCCCAACTCCACGTTATAGATGAGAAAACTGAGGTTAAGAGAGGGGAAGTGACTCATTGAAAGTGATACTGCTAATGAGAACATTAGAACTGGAGTCAGGAGACTCTTCGGTGCAGTGTTTGCTCTATTTGTCCTGACTGGAGCCCTGTTAGTTAACTACATGCTTCCCAGTTCGTTTCCTCAGAAATGGCCTTCCCTTCCTATGAGTCTAGACTGAAGTGTGCCACAGAGGATACTGGGTAAAGATGGAGGTGAGGCAACACTCACCGAACCAGGTTCACCACAGGCTCCAGGATGTTGTGACCCAGGGCAGCGCTGCACTCCCCAAAGGAGACTCCCAGCTCCTGCAGGCCAGACAGACAGGTGCCTTGAGGAAATAGGTCTCTGAAATGCCAGGCAATCAAACAGAGTCTAGCCTGTGGTCCCCAGTTGAACCCTTCTACCCACTTTCCTTCATCCAGGTTGGCCAAGTGTCATGACATCACATTGGAAATATGTCTCACTCTTCAGAGTCCCAATTTAGAGCAATGTCTTTATTGTTATGTGCTGTTCAATTGGTACTGACTCATAGAGACCCTATATATAGAGTTTCTGAGGAGTGGCTGGTGGCTTTGCACCACCACCCTTGTGGTTAGTAGTCCAGTACTTACCCTTTAGCATCACTTTGGGACATGTTATAACAGTTAGGTTTTCTGGTTTCAAAATATTTCATTAGGGGAAATAGCATTAAAAAGTATAAGAACAAAATATAAGCCACTCCTGCTAGCGTTTGGGTGTATATATATATTTCCACTGTTTTAATAACTCTTTTATTTGGGGGAGATTGAACTAGGTTACCCTTTGCCATCATCATGTTGGCTCTGCCTCATGGCCACCCAATATCGGTCTAAGTAGAATTGCGCTCCATAGGATTTTCGGTGGCTGATTTAAAAAAAAAGTTTAGTGTCAGACCTTTCTTTTGAGACCTCTAGTTGAACTTGAAACTTCAAGCTTTAGGTTAGCTTTCAGCATATTAATTGCACCACCCAGGAAGTCTGAATAAGAGTTAGAGATACTGGGAGTGAAACATGCTCCACCACTGAGCTACACTCTCTCTCTCTCCTTAAACCATTTGAAATTGTTCAGTTGTTCAGGTTAAGTCCCAAACAGTCAAATATCAGCAATTCCATATAGTTCAACCTAACCTATACCCAGATTTTCACTTGGCTCGTCTGATGTCACATTTTATTATCAGCATTTCTCCCATACCTTTATTTAAATATTCCTCTAGGATAGACTTCTGGATAACAAATACCTAACGTTTCATATGAGCATGCCACAATGTAACCACCAACTTCAGCCAAATGTTTGTTTTTATAAATAACACTGTAAAGAACATCCTCATATAAATGTTTGATTGTATATTATCCACAGGTATCCATTCTGTTATTTCTGATTCCTTCCTGAGATTAAACTACTAGAGGAGAAATTACCATGTCAAAAGAGTGAGCTACACGTTTAAGAGGAAAACATCCCCACAAACTAGAACCACAAATGATGACTTATGATTCTAAGAAGTGAGAGGTGAAATGGGAATGGAAATATTAAAAAGGCTTGTGTCAGAGATGGGACGACGATTTTTTTTTGACTGTTCTCCAGATTTTCTGGAATGTGGTTAAATTCTATTCATAATTAAATAGTATCCACTGTCTGGTGATGGGGCTTTTGATGTCATCTTCCCAGGGAAGAATTGAAGTCTTAAGATAGAATAAATTAGAAGGAAGAATGTTAATTAGAGACCAGAGATAAAATTAAGATTTGATTGGGAATTTTAAGTGGAGCTTTTAAAACTCTTTTACTCTGAACATATTTTTTATGTATGTTGGGACATAGCGTGGGAATTTGCTGACTCAACAGTGAGGTTCAATGTCCTGCCTGCTATTACAGTCTCATGTTTGGTTCAAGGCCGGCCTCCAGAGACCTGGGTGGGTGGGGACAGAGGTAATCAAACTACTGTCTGCTCTGGCCTGGTCTTTGGCTGGGCACAGGCAGAAGGTTCCTTCTCAGTTGTCCAGGCCAGGCTGGCCCCTATTCAGGGCCCTCCAGAGTGGTGTCTGCCCAGTGCAGGCAGGGAGAAGTGTCGATGACATCCAGGGGCTCACCTTGGCCAGTTGCCGCCCAATCTCAGTGGGCACCTGCCGCTCCTCCGTACAGTCCATCTTGTTTCCCAGGAGAAGGATAACCGCCTTGTCAGAGCCTGCATCCTATACACAAAACACCTTCTCTCAGCCACAGGCAATGATCACAGACTGTATACCAGGCCTGGGGCAGATTTGGCCCTGCCTTCCTGGAAACTGAGAGTGTATCCCCTGCCTACACATGCCCAGAGTTAGGGGCATGTGTGGGCAGGGGATACACTCTGCTTCTCCCTGTCTCATTCCTCCACACCCTTCCCACCTCACCCCGTCACCCCCCGTTTACAGTGAGTCTGTCCGAGCTCTCTGACTGAAAACATCCCACCCATTTTCCAAGGCCAGCCTTAAGGACACCTCCCCAGGAAGCCCTCATGGCTCTTGTCCATGCCCCTCTCATCCTGTCTTACTGAGCAGTTCCTGATGACCCAGAATGCCTTGGCTCATTCCCTAATCGTTTCATGTGTGGTATTCATGGACTCTGATTACTAAGTGCTTACTGCACACCAGGTGCTGTGCCTAAAGCAACAACTCCCCTATGAGAGGAATAAGAAGATTGATAATCAGAGAGGTTAAGGCACTTGTCTAAAGCCACAGAGTTAATAAGCTGGGTAGCTGGGATTCAAACCCAGGTCCTGCCATACTTCAGAGCCTGTCATACCTTATCTTACTTCCTTTGCATCTTTTCAACTAGACTAGAAACTTCTGAAGAGAAGACAGCATACCACTTTGCTGTGCTAGTATTTACTGTAACATTTCAGTATTATGTATTAAATAGGTAAGGGAGAACACTAGGGCTATGTGAACAGAGGAATTTATAACCTACAATGGCTTCCTTGTTGTTATGTGCCTTCAAGTTGGTTCTGACTCATAGCAACCCTGTACAGAATCTCTGAGGCTATAAATCTTTATGAGATCAGAAAGTCTCATCTTTCTCCCACACAATGGCACTAGAATTGCATTATTTCCAGATGTTAAAAAGATACCACAAACAGGTGTAGGATGGTTGTATGTAGGAATGAAATGCTCATAGGATAAAGGAAGTAGTTTGACTTTGGGGCTGTACTGTGTGGTTGTAGTTTCTTTTTACCACTGTGCTCAATTCATCTAGCCACATACACTCAGTGGGTGGTGTTGCTTATATGTTTGTTGGGTAATTCAATTCTGGAGAAAAGACAAGTTAAGTGGCTAAAATACGAGCTCCCTCCTGACTTGAAAAACTGAGGCAACTTCTGCTCACCTGGAGACAGTCCAGCCAGTAGCTCACATGGGCAAAACTCTTCTGGTCGGTGACATCGTACATGAGTACCACCCCATCAGCCTTGCGGAGCAGCTGCCGAGTCATGCTGTGATACCTGCCCAGATAGAGTCTGCATGAGGTCCTGCCAGGTGGCCTGATCCTAGGCCCTGGCCTCAGTAGACCTCAGCCATTCTACCTGCAAAGTGCCTCCGATTGTTTCCCAAAGAGAGTCTACACATGCTTTCCTTTTTACAGTGTAGCTTTTGTTGAATAGGTAACGTGTTCTCATGGCTCCAATTTCAAAAGGTATCAAAGGGTATCCAATGACATGTCAGTCTTCCTCTCTCCTTTCCCAAAGTCTCTCCTTTCCTCTTCCCAGAGGCAGTCGGGGCTACTAGTTTCTTAAATATCCTTTCAGCGGTGTTTTATGTTTATACAAACTAAAACCAAAACTCACTGTCATCTAGCTGGTTCGGATTCAGGGATAGCATATAGGGTTTCCAAGACTGTACATCTATATGGAAGCAGACAGTTCCATCTTTCTCCCATGGAGTGGCTGGTGCATTTGATCTTTAACTATTGTGCCACAAGCAACTCAATGCCTAACCCACAGTGCCGCCAGATACCTTATGCTTATATAAGGGAAGCTTCAAAAAGTTTGTAGAAAAATGAAATGAAAAGATCATTGAATTTTTCCCCACAAACTCATATGTACATACAAACATCTTCCCTCCCATTTTACATGAAATAGTCACTGCATTCGTATTTTCATTTTACATGAGTATTTAGTTGCATGTACTTTGTTTTTTTCCAATTAACAGAACATCTTGGAAATATTTCCCTGTCAGGACATAAAGAGAGTCCTCAGCTTTTGTTTGCCATTGTATGGTAGACCTTCATTTACTTAGCTAGTTCCCTGTTGATAGATACTTAAATGTTTCCCATGTTTCATAATATACACAATGTTGCTATGAGTGCTCTTGGTCCCTATGTTATCGTAATTATGCATGAGTGTACAGGTTAATTTTGACCAGCACTGCTTAGCTGGGAAGTGGAAGGCCAGTGTTTTCAGAAGCACAGGTAATAGGGTACTGCTAGGTACCCTAATCTATGTACTACTAGGCTGGGGAGGGGGGTTTGTGCTTGGACTTGACTCACTTCTCCTTCCCTGACACCCTTCCCTGACATCCTGAGTCTTTAGGGGGCTGATGCCTCATTTGCACTTGGTAGTTCCTGCTGGACTCCTCAAGGGTCCCTCTGCACCCCCAGGCTCAGCCCAAGCCTCCAGTACCACTGATGATGGAGCCTGTGGACAATACCGGTTACCTCTCCTGGCCAGCCGTGTCCCACAGCTGCAGCACAAAGCACTTGTTGTCCACCAGCAGGGTTTTGACCCGAAAATCAACTCCTAAGACACACAGAAAAGGGTGAGGCTCACTTACAAGTTACCATTCAGGACCTCTAGCCAAACCAAAACCCAATCCAGTCACCTTTGAGCCAACTCATGGGACTGCCGTGAGTCAGAACTCTTATTAGGGTAGAACTGTGCTCCGTATGGTTTACAAGCACTGATCCTTCAGAAGTAGTCACCAGGCCTTTCCTATGAGGGGTCTTTGGGTCGACTTGAACCTCCAGTCTTTTGGTTAGCAGCCAAGTGCATTAGCCATTTGTACCACCCAGGACTCCGCTAGACAATGTACCCGGATATATGTCCATCCTCGGTACCAACCTCTGGGGTGGGAGCCTTCAGCTGTGGTGCTTCCTCTCTGCTCTCTATCCCACCCACATTGCAGGGCCCACTTCCTCCAAGAAGCCTTCCCTGACCACCCAGCCCACAGAACTCCCTGCTCCTAGGCTCTCCCACACCCTGACAGTCAGTGCCAACAACAGTGCAAGGCATCCTGCATTAGATTTATCTCTATGAACAGAAATGTCCCCCCCAACTGCATAGCAATGCTTATCCTCAGGCCACCCTGGAAAACTAGTCTCATTATTTTATTTTTATATGCTTGTTTTATTCCCTAATTGCTGCCTGCAGCAAGACAAGGGCATAGAAGAAGTCGTCCACCCTCTGCTTCTATACAGGCTGGATGACCTTGGGTAAACGACTTCACAGTTCCTTAGAAAACTGGTGAATTAGAGGAAGTTTGTCTTTAGTGTCTGTCTTTGATGCCCTCTTTCCTGAAGGTCTTAGGAAGTCCAGGGTCTATAGGAAATCGAGGCTATCTAATCCAATCCGACTGGGAGAATATCCAGTCTCTGCCTACATACCCACAGCAAGAGAGAGACCACTGCCTCTATTGAATAATACTAACAATTCTTCCTTGGATTTAATAATTCTCTCATCACTTTTACTATTTCCATCTGCCTACTTACCAGCTGCTCCTTAGAAAACCTATACAGGGAGGCTGTGGGTCGGAACTGACTCGACGGCACATAACAACAACAACAACAACAACAAAACCGTCTTCTTCAATTCACCCATGTGTCCCCACACTCCCACCAAATATGTTACACTGTAACCACAAACACTATTAGGGACGTGACATTTTCTAGGTGGCACAAGTGGTTTGCAGTTAGTTGTTGACCCCAAGGTTGGCAGTTTGAGTCTACCTAAGGAGCTCTGGTAGCGTAGTGGTTACGAATCGGGCTGCGAACCTTAAGGTCCGCGGTTCGAAACTACCAGGTGCTCCACGGGAGAAAGATGAGGCTTTCTACTCCCGTAAAGATTTACACCCTCGGAAACCCTATACAGGGTCGCAACCGACTTGATGGCACATAACAACAACAACCAGTACTGCAGAAGAAAGTCCTGGTGACCTGCTTTCATGAAGACTATAGTCAAGAAAACTCTTGAGAAGCAGTTCTACTACAGTATAGCACATGCAGTAGCCATGAGTTGGGACTGATTCAATGGCAGCAGTTTTGGTTTGGGGTTTTTGGCCATCCCCTTCTTCAATCCATCCATGCATCCCTGTACTTCTCCTAAAATTATTACAACTTAACCACGCAATCTTTTAGGAATATGTTTTCTGTTTCTCAGGGACTCTGCTGTTTTAAATGAGCAACTCCAGGGAGAAGAGTAAGCCTTATGGTGTGGGAGGATAAACTTTGAAGGCAGATGGCTCTGGGTATGAGTTCTAGCTTTGAGGCTCAGTGAGGGCAAGAAATTTTACTAGGTCTTCAAATCTTATCTGTAAAATGTGTTGATATTTTTGTTGTTAAGTGCCATTGCGTCAATTTCAGCTTATAGCCACCCTGTATGGATGACTGGTGGGTTTGAACAGTCTGGTTGTTGTTGTTATTATGTGCCATGGAGTTGGTTCCAAATCATAGCGACCCCTGTAACAGGTTTTCTGAGGCTATAAATCTTAACGGGAGCAGAAAGCCTCATCTTTCTCTCGTGAAACAGCTGGTAGTTTCGAACTGCTGACCATGAGATTAGCAGCCCGATTCGTAAAAATCTCAAAGATATACACATTCGGATAGAACTCAATTGTTGCTGGTTTTCCAACTGGCCCTGTTCTCAAATGCAGGCAGGGTATGGGTTTGATCTTCTGAGTGAAAAGAGGAATGAATGGAGAGACGGTGCCTCAGGGTAGGAAATGCCTGTGACTGATGGGGCCAGAATAGTCCCCAGTGATATTAAAGTCTGAATGGACAATAGCCACCAGTTGGCATCAAACCATAGTTGGGACTGGGGCTGATCTGGGTCTCAGGTTCTTTCAGCTGGTTAGCGGCCTTACACTGTCGTTTTATAATTATGCAACCATGTTTTTGTTTTTCTTGATTGAATATTGTAGAGCCTTCTTACCACATAATAATGGGAAGGCTAAATTATAAGAAGGGTTGTTGCAAGGAATAAGACAAGTAGATAAGATGCTTGGTACATTGTAGGCGTTCTGTAAACAGTAGCTAAGATGGTTAATAATGGTGGCCCTGCAGACACTGTGACTCTGCCCAGTGTCAGGTCAGGTCAGGCCTGCTGTGGCACCCCACCCCAAGGCACGGCATTTTTGGTAAGTTCTCCAGGTGAGGATTCTCAAAGCAAGGTTTGAGAACATGTGCTTGTCCCTCTTGTGCAAGGGTTGTCATTTAGCCACTGGCCTGACACTGGTTCCCAGTCAGTACGTGCCTTAGCTAAGACATTTTTGTCCCTAAATGTGTTCCCCCTTCATTCTCACTAGCTTATTTTTCTGTGGCTCTATACAATGTTTAAGGAGTTCTGGTAGTGTAGTGGCTAGGAGTCGGGCTGCTAATCACACAGTCAGTAGTTCGCAACTACCAGCCATTCCATGGGAGAAAGATGGGATAAGCCCTGGACTGCTAACCATAAGGCCAGTGGTTCAAACCCACCAGCCACTCCTTGGAAACCCTATACAGGGTCACTGAGTCAGAACTGACTTGAAGGCACTGAACCACCGCCAGCCACAACAACAATAAAATACAATGTTCAAGTGGCCATTCAAAACAAAACACCAGTTGCTGTAGAGTCAATTCCAACTCAAGGTGAATTCAAGTCAGAGTAGAACTGTGCTCCACTGTATTTTCAATAGCTAAATTTTCCGAAGTAGATGACCAGGCCTTCCTTCCAAGGTTCGTCTGGGTGAACTGGAATCGCCAACCTTGTATCAGCAGTTGAACGTGTTAACTGTCTGCAGCATTCAGGGAGTAACCCTAGATCCTGATATTTTCAGGGAGGAGAGGCTTTGTGCTTTGGGGAATTTCATTTGTAGGAGTCACTGAATTAAACATCATCACAGAGTTACGTACAATAATGACAAGAATGACAATAACTAATGTGGGATCATGGTGTCTCCACAGGATAAGCAGTGGACTGCAAGCCACAAGGTCAGCAGTTTGAGCCTACCAGCCACTCCAGGGGAAAAACATGAGGCTTTCTGCTCCCACAAAGATTGAAACACTCAAAAATCCTATACTGAGTGGCTACGAGTTGGAACCAACTCGACAGCACTTAACAACAACATTTAATGAGCTTTTACTATGTATTAACTAATCCTGACTTTAGGAAGTCAGTACTATTGTTGCCCCCAGTATTCAGACAAGGATTTAGGGGCTCAGAGGGATTAAATAATTTGCCCAAGGTCATATCGCTAGTAAATAGCAAAACTGGGATTTAAAATCAGGCACCTGAGTTCCTAACACATTACTCTCAAATACATTCTATGCAAAGTGCCCAACTTGGCCCAAGGCGACTTCTTGCCAGCACATGGCTGTCTGGCCTGGAGCCAGTCCTAAGTAAAGCCTGCCACCATGGGTCCTGCAGTGGCCTGCCTGTGGGCACGTGTGTGGGGACTTTTGTTTTCATCACCATCCAGGGCTGGCACCTAAATTGCAGGGTGCATTGCTGATGTGGCACATTATAAGCTAATCAGATCAATGGAGAAAAAGCAAATTACCTACAATTAGAGATGATTAGTAAAATGGGAAGGTTATGCCCCTATTAAAAAAAAAATAATAGTACTATCTCATGTGGGGCCCATGGCTAGGGCAGAACCGGCAGCATCCTCAGGGATATTTCACTTTAGGCCTGCTTTGACTTGTTGGCCTGGCTCCCTGGGTCTCCCCTCCCTCACTGCCCGCTCCCCCGAGTCTGGGTCCTTACCCACGGTAGCTGTAAGCCCGGTGGCAAAAGAGTCCTGGTGAAGCAGGTGCAGGAAGGAGGTTTTGCCCACATTGGAGTCCCCCAGGAAGATGATGTGGAAGGCGTAATCAGGGTCAGCCTGAGGCTCGTTGGCTGGGAGGTTCCCAGGAGGTAGGGACAACCCAGCCTCTGGGGAGTCCATTACTGGGTCTTCGGGCCTGTTCGCTGCCCTAGGCTCACTGGATTGAGGAGGGCCTTCTGCTTGAGCATTCAGGGCCGGGGGCCTGTGTTGGACTTCTAGCTCAACCGTGGTGAGGAAGGTTTGTGTGGGATTCTGGGACCCTGCTCCATCACCAGGCTGAGCCCCTGTGGGGAAGGGGCTGCCTGGAACTGATGGTTTCCCAGGAATGGGGGCCTCTGTTTCAGTCTGAGCCTGGGGTGGGCCAGGTTGGGGAGTAGCAGGTAGAACATCTTTCAGAGGATGTTCTGAATGCCCAACTACCAGCCCCTGCACCTCTTCTGACTGCTCTGGACCTATGTTCTGCCCGTCTTGGTCCTCTTGTTGTCCCTCCTCAGCCCAGGACTCCTTTTTCAGACTCTGGTGGTGGAGTGCAGGCAATGCATCTTTCCTGAGGACCTGGCTATGATCTCCTCCGAGTTCCCCAGAGTGGCCATCCTGCTCATCTGGACCCAGTTTGCCTGGCTCCAGTACCTCTGTGGGAGCCATAGGATCCAGACCCTGGGAGGAATCAACTGGCCCCAGTGTAAGTGTCCCAGCCCCCGGGGATCCCAACCCTGACTCAGAGCCTGCTGCGTGTGTGTTCTGAAGGAGGGTCTCTCTCTGCCGGGGAGGCTTGGCTGGGGCTGGCCCAGGCCCAGGCCCAGGCCCAGGGCCTTTGCCATCTGGGTCTGAGGCCTGGAACAATTCGCTGGTCCCAGCTGGGGCCTGGGGAGGGGGAGGCTCCACAGGAGAAGGGGACCCATCCTCCAAAGGAATGAGCATTTTAAGTGTGGCTGCCACCAAGCTCCCTGACTCCCCAGCTGGGGGGCGATCCCAGAGGAAGTAGGACCCTGAGTCAGGCCTCGGCTTGTCCTCAACTTCCAGGTTGGGAGACTCCACAGGCTGCTCTGAACTGATGTCCTTAGCCTCGGAAGGCCCCCTGGGATCTGAAGATGGCTTCTGACCCAACAGTGGAGAGCGTGGCTCTGAGATGGAGATCTGCCTGACCACGCGGGGAGTCTGGGGGGCCGAGGGGTCTTTCGGAGTGGGGGGCGGGCTCCAGGCGATCTGCAGGGTTCTGTGTGGAGGGCTGCTAAAGTCACTCAGGAGCTGGTCCCAGTCGTCATTGTCCCCAAACAGCTCAGGCAGGGGTGTCTCCTCAGGAATACTGCCCTGGGGAGCTGGGGGCCTCTCTACCTCTGCTATGGGGGCACTGGAGAGGAAGAAGGGAGGTGAAGGTCAGGGGAGGGGCTGGCAGGGGAACAATGTCACACCAACCCCACTAGAATCCCTCACCCTCCTTTGCACACCACGCCTGATCTTCACTTCTGGGCTTTGCTCAGCAGTCCTCCTCACCTGGCCTACCCTCCCCAGTCCTCCCCCTCATCCAATCCTATGCATTCTTCAAGGACCATGTGAAGCCCCATCTCCTCCAAGAAGCCTTGCCTGACCATTCTGTCCCATCCCTCTCCTCCAAACTATAACAAGTAGAGAGAGTGCCTGCTAGGAAACCAGCTCCCGTGAGGCCCTGTGTGTGTCTCAGTCATGTGCCTCACTTTCCTCATCTGTGAAACATGATAATCCCAGCTGGCAGGGGTGGTGAGAGAATTAAAGGAGGGAGATTGAGGGTGTGTGGAGCCTCCCCTCCCCTCTTCCAGGAAGGTTCTGACCTCCACCCCAGTAGCCCAGGCCTGGTAGCCACTTGCCTTGGTTCCTCTTCTTCCACCTGCCAGGAAACGCGGCCCTTGGCAGCTTCCAGGTGTCCCTTTGTCACCTGCAGTTGTCCCTGCACCTCCTCCAGCCGACTGGCCAGGTCTTGCTCAGTCTCTCGAAGCTGCTGGTTCTCTGAGCTGGCCTCCTGTTGGGTGCTACTGAGCTGGTAGAGCTGAGCCTCCAGCTGCAGGGGACGGAGGGCAAGGAAGAGAGAAGGCCAGTTGACAAAGCCTCCCAGGGCCTCATGGGAATCAAGAGCACCTCAAAGCTCTGGGAGACCCAGCTTAAAACATAGGTTTAGGATAGGGGCCATGGCTACCCTCATTGGTCTAATTAGCTCCACTCCCTCTCTCCCAGGGGAGACATTCTCATTGTTGGGGCAGGAACAAGAGAAGGAACAATAAATGAATGAGAACCCACAAGGACAGGAACAGAGGAGACCTCACCCGCCTCTTCCTCTGCTCTCAGCCCTCCATGGCTTCTCATCTCTGAACCCTGTAGGATCCGAATGGGATCCCTGGTGCAACAGCAAACCACGACTCCCAAATAGAGTTCTGACCCCATTTCTCTGATGGAGAAGTCAAGGCTCAGAGGTTAAGAACCTGCCCATGGTTACTGAGCCGACCACAGAGATAAGAGTTAAAAGTTACCCTGCCACCAAGCCTCTGCAATTTCAAGACCTCGTGTTGGTCTAATGCTCTTTCATCTCAAAGTGCTTTCCCATGTATTTTCTCATCTGACATCACGAGCCTGCCTGATGCAGCGGATATGATTATACTCATTTCACAGATGGAGAAACTGAGGCCAGCAGGACAAACAAAGTGATTTCCTCAGGTTTGCATGGCTCTGAAGTGGCACCACAGGGATTTGAACTCATGTCACCTTGCTCTCATATAAACCTAGCCTCATTTAAACAAAGGGCCGAAGACAACTTTTTCCCAGGGGACTATACTCATATGAAGGAGCTCTGGTAGCTTAGTGGTTACGAATCGGGCTGTGAACCTTAAGGTCAGCAGTTCGAAACTACCAGCTGTTCTGCAGGAGAAAGATGAGGCTTTCTGCTCCCGTAAAGATTTACAGCCTTGGAAACCCTGTACAGGGTCGCTATGAGTCCAAACTGACTCCACGGCACATAACCACCACCACCACCATACTCATATGGGAGCCCAGCGAGAGCAATGAGGCCTCCAGATCTGTAAGTGTTTATGGCAGGTTATTTATGCCTGTCAGAGTCCACGAACCCTCAGAAATCAGGCTTCTAGGGAAGCCCTGAAGCTCACCTCCCTCTGGCCCTCAGCCAGTTGCTGCACCTCACGTTCCTTGGCCTCCAGGACCTCTTGCATCTGCGAGCTGAGGGCCAGGCCCCGGGAGTCACTCTGGGGAGCAGAGAGGTCTCAGCCCCAGCATCACAGGCTCCATGACCCTTCCCACACTCTCACCTCCCCGCAGGGCTGGTTTGTGGCAATGAGGAGACTAAGGCCCAGAGATGGGAGGACTGGCTTTAGGTTGTACAGTCATGTACAGAGATGAACAGGGGCCCAGTCACGCCATCTCTGTGGAGAATAAGCGCGGGTCAGAGCTGTGACCCACTCAACCCCCAGCAGCTTCCTGATGCCCACACTGGCCATTCCTGGTCTCCGTGACTTAGCCAGCAGAGGAATCCAGAGCAGGGTGATGGGGTAGGGGGCAGCAGCTGGAAGAGAGCCCACCTCGGCCTGCAGTTGCTGCCTTTCCCGTTGGATCTGCTGCTCCATCTCATTGTAGAGCTCCTGGACCTCACGGTGGTGGTCAGAGTCACGCCTGGAAGGGACCAAATGTGGTGGAGGTGAGGGCAGGTGGTGCAGCAGCCCCTCTGGGGCCCTGCTGCCGGTGGGCTGGTTTGGACCTGGGTTTGGAGTCTGCTCAACTGCACATTAACCCTGTCATAACAGCCAGCCTGGCTCATAGGATTTTGACACTGGTCATCCTGCTCCCATCACCCTGAATTCTGTCACCAGCACCAAGATATTGGTCCCTCTGGCCTTGCCATGTAGTCCCCATCACCCCACCACTTTTTCCCCTGCCCCCATAATTCAGAGCCCCAGCCTGCCCCAACAGCCCAGCTGTGCTGGAATTCCATTCAGATTTAACTAAATTGTAAAGAGCACCTTAAGTGCCTGACACTGGGTGAGGTCACTTTCTGTGTGTGCTTTCCCCAAGCCCACTCACTTCCTCAGGGTCAGCTCCAGAGCCTCCTTGTCCGCCCGTGTCTCTTGCAGGCGACTGGTCATCTTGGCCAGAAAGCCCTCCAGATTGCCTGCCAAGTGAGGCTCCTCCTGCCGCAGCTTCGCCCAAAGCTGCCAGATCTCCATTTGTCTGGGAGAGAAGGCAGCCAGAGGTTAGGTAAAAGGTGGACCAGAAACAGGGGGAAACCCATTTGGTTAATAATCACAGTAGTCCAAGAAGGCTTGGACACCTGGGCTCCAAAACTCTACAAGATGAAACTCAAATGCTGCCTCCTCCAGGAACCTTCCCTAAAGGGTCCGCTCTCTCCTTGAAGCGCACAACACTTTGTTTCTCTATGATTTAGTGATTAATCAGGGAGCGGGGAGCCTTGGAGGCTTCCATCTGCCATCTCCCTTCTCACACACTCTGTAGCTGTGCGACCTTTGGCTGGTCCAGTGCCTTCTCTGGGCTTGCCTGCCAAGGTGTCTGGAGAATGAGAGACACGCCCGATGGCAGCACCAGCTTGGGGCCTGGCACCTGCTTGGCACTCAATAAATGCCGCTTTCACACAGATTTAATTAAGTCATGAAGACAGATGCCAGACGGTTGAGCCAGACCAAGCTGCCAAGTGGGTAAATGGCCCCCACCCCACCTGCCCTGCCAGTCTGCACCCCAAGTCCCACCCCACCTGCCCCACAACACTGGGCCACACCCTCTGAGAGCCAAACTTGAGAGATCTTGTTCCCCAGGAGCCCAGTGAGGTGAGCAAGCCTGGGCAAATGGGTGAGGGCAAGTTCCTTGCTGGTGCTAAGGGAATCTGTTGGGGCTCGGGGAGTCTGGTGGGACATTTTCAGGCACACTTCCTTCTCTGAACATGAGACAATCCCATCATGTGGTGGAAATGCCCTCCTGTCTCCAATCTTGCCCAACCCTGGGCTTCACCATGCCTGAAATCTCCCCACTGAAGAACCTTCTTGTTGAGTTAAGGAAGACACCTTCAGGGACATCCCCTTAGGAGACTTATCAGTCTCCCAACTCACTCATCTTCTGGGGAGTCATTCTGTAAGGCAGGACAAGAGAAAGAGAGTGTGGCACTGGGGGAACTTCTTGTGACACATGGTTTCATTGAATCCCAGCAGCACCAGTGAGTCACCTCTGACTCATGATAACCCATGTGTGTCAAGGTAGAACTGTGCTCCATGGGGGCTTCAATGGCTAAGTTTTCAGAAGTAGATCTCCAGCCCTATCTTCTATGACACCTGTGGGTGGATCTTTTGGTTCCTAGCAGAGCACTACCCAGGGACTCTCATTCAGCAGCTGGGAGAGGAATAAGGGCAGAGAGATCAGGCCTTTTGCTGTGGTTGCCAATGCAGGATTTGCACCTTGCTCTACCCAGAGGCCTCCCATCTTGGCACTGTGCCTGAGCGAGCCCCCACCCTACCCACACTGCTGGCCTTACTCGGGAAGTAAGTGGCTGGCCCCCAGCTGCTCCACGAAGGCAGAGAATGCCTCCTTCTCCTCGGTGTCAGCCTCCTCCAGTGCTGGGAAGCTGTCAGCTGCCGATCCTCGCTTGGAGGACAAAGGCCTTCTTCTGCGGAGCCTGTGGGTGCTCAGGTTGGAGCCAAAGATGCTCTCTGTGGACAGAGGGGGACAGAGGGAAGAATCCCATACCTGCCACCCTGCCCTTGGGGGAAGTAATTATACCTGTATTGCTCACATTTATACAAGATCACATTCATTCACTCTTCAGCTCAACCTTGGGAGTCTACTCAAGATAAGTACCATGTCCATCGTACAGGTAAGAATCTGAAGCTCAGAGAAGCCGAGCAACTTGCCAGAAGTCATGTGGGTCTCAGGGAAGTGCATTCCAAGTAGAGAGACATATAGGTGAGACCAAGGCATACCGGAGGGGGTGAGGACACTGAGTAAGACCAAGAGGTATTGGCCCTGCAGGCCCTGGTAAGGGGGTTGGATGTTTTCTGTGGGCAATGGAATGTCCTTGGCATGGTAGGTATGACTGAATTCAGGGGCATTTCCTCCTGATCATTTCTCCCTACCTGTTCCACTCTTAGCTCTCATCCACTAAAGCTGGAGCAGCTACCTCTTGGGGTGAGCCCAATAAGCAAATGCAGATTTCTGGCTCCTTCCGTGCAGACCCCTAAGTTTTTGGAGGTTCCAGAGGACTTTATGGGCATTGAAGGCTGAATGGTGCTTTGCAGGGCCCCTTCAGAAGACAATACACCTCTTGGCCCCTGGGCCTTAGGTGTTCCCCTAGAGGAACCAGATTTCATGACCTTGGTCTTCTAGGTCTTGTTGGGTCTGTCTTAGGAATAGGTGCTGGTGGCTCTGCCCAGTGGAACACAGGGTCTGGGAAGCCCCTAAAATCACTACTAGTTGGCATGGAACCTGTTCCTACTCATGACAATCCCATGTAGGTCAGAAGTGAACTGCACGCCATAGGGTTTTCAATGGCTGAGTTTTCAGAAGTAGAGCACCAATCATTTCTTCTGGGTAAACATGAACCTCCAGCCATTTAGTTAGCAGGCAAAACCATGAAATTGTTTGTCCCACCCAGGGTCCAATGACTTGAGGGCACCTGATTTGAGGGGAAATCCTACCTTCTAAATATCAGTCTCCTAAATCCCTCCTTATGCTCTGGGATTCCCTTAAGCAAAAGCATAATGTGACCACCCTCCCACAGAAATAAGGACAATGGTCTCAGGAAGGAGGGGTGTTTAACCTTTCACCCTAGATAAGTCTTTTGTTGGGGAGAAGGTAAGAGTGGTGTCAGAAAACAAGAGTGGAGGCCTTGTGGAGGACGAGGGCAGTTCAAGGGAGCCACCAACCAATGAACCACCCTGAAAGGAAAGTCTGGGAGTCTCATGGCCCAGCTCAGCTTGTAGCTGCCTTCCCAGGATCTCTGCAATAATCCTGTTATCATCCATGCTGTAAACTGCTCTTAGGTGTAGTGAAGGTTCCTGGCTGTTTAAGAAATTACTGAGTCCTTTCTGGCCAGTCCAGCCCAGGTTTGGATAGGTACACTTTGTGGGACATCTAGCTGTGCAGGAAGTCCCAGAGGCCTTCCCAAAAGAGACATACTGAGCCCAGAGCTGAATTCATCAAGGGAGAGGCGACCCTTCCGCTCCATGTCCACCCAGTCGAAGATCATCTCTGGCTCCTCCTCACTGCCCAGGAAGCTGAACTTTGCCACCTGGAAGGAAGGGGTGAGTTAAGTGGCTGTTTCCACTTAGACAGTTCTAGATAACACTCATAAAAGGAAGGTGTTTATCTTCAACCATCTCTCTAGCTTCTCTCTACCCAGTTTTAGAGTCTCCCTCATAACCTGACCCAAAGTTTACCTTTGAGGTTCCCAACCTCATCCAAGGCAGCCACTCAGCAGAAATGGCCCTCAAACCTTTTCCTTCCTCCCATCCAATATTAAAACCTATCTGTTCTGTCAGTTTGTCATACTGTGGTGGCTTGCATGTTGCTGTTATGCTGGAAGATATGCCACCGGTTTATTAAATACCAGCAGGGTCACCATGGTGGACAGGTTTCAGCTGAGCGTCCAGGCGAAGACAGACTAGAAAGGAGAGGCAGACTGCTTCTGAATATTTAGCCACTGAATACCTAATGCGTAGCAGTAGAACACGGTCAGACAGCACCACAATTTTGAATATTGCAACATGAATCGTACGAGAATATTGTCAGATACAGTGTCAGAACACGAGCCTCTCAGATTGGAAGACACTCAAAATATGACTGGGGAAGAACTGCCTCCGCTAAGTAGAGCTGACCATGATGACTCATTGCGTAAAGCGTTCAGAACCTTCATTTGCTGATGAGGTGATGAGGAACAGCACAAAATGAGGAGAAACAGCTGTAAACATCTATTGATAATCAGAACATGAATGTACAAAGTATGGAGCTAGGAAAATTGAAAGTTGTCAAAAATGAAATGAATAGCATAATGATAGATATCCTAGGCATTAGTAAGCTGAAACAAACTGGTATTGGCCATTTTGAATCTGACAATCATTTGGTTTATTATGCCAGAATGATAAATTAAAGAGGAATGGCATCATATTCATCATCAAAAAGAACATTTCAAGATTTATCTTGAAGTACAACGCTGTCTGTGGTAGGATAATACCGATGTGCCTACAAGGAAGACCGGTTAATACCACTATTATTCAAATTTATGCACCAATCATTAAAGTTAGTGATGATGAAATTGAAGAATTCTACCAACTTATAGTCTGAAATTGATCAAACATGCAAACAAGATGTACTGATAATTACTGATAATTGTAATGCAAAGGTTGAAAACAAAGAGGAGGAATCAGTAGTTGGTAAATATGGCCTTGGTGACAGTAACAATGCTGGAGATCATGTGATAGAATTTTGCAAGACCAACAACTTTTTCATTGCAAACACCCTTTTTAAACAATGTAAGTGATGGTGTATACACCAGATGGCATATACAGAAATCAAATTGACTACGTCTATGGGTAGAGAGGGTAGAAAGCTCCACATTATGAACTAAAATAAGGCTAAGGCACACTGTGGAACAGGCCAATAATTGCTCATATGCAAATTCAGGCTGAAGCTTAAGAAAATTGTTTTTTAATCCATAAGAACCAAAATTTGATCACAAATATTCCCACCTAAATTTAGAGATCATCTCAAGAACAGATTTGATGCATTAGAAACTAATGACATAAGACCAGAAGACTTGTGGGAAAACATCAAGAATATCATACAGGAAGAAGGTCATTCATTAAGAAGACAAGAAAGAAAGAAAAGACCAACATGGATTCCAGAAGAGACTCTGAAACTTGCTCTCCAGTGTACAAATGCTAAATGGCCCAATGGAATAAACCAATGGAAGAAATAATGAAGTAAAAGAGTCGAAGAAGACAAAGTCAAGTATTATAATGAAATGCACAAAAACCTGGAGGTAGAAAAACAAAAGGTAAGAACATGTTCAGCATTTCTCAAGCTGAAAGAACAGAAACAAAAATTCAACCCTCGACCTGCAATATTGAAGTCTATATGGGCGTTGTGGGTTAATGCACTGGACTGCAAGGTCAGCAGTTCAAGCTCACCAGCTACTCCTTGGAAACCCTATACAGGATTGCTATGAGTTGGAACCAGCTTGATGGTATTTGACAACAACAACAATACATGGACAAAATATTGAATGATACAGAAAGTATCAAAAGAAGATGGGAGGAATAAACAGAGTCACTGTACCAAAAAGAAACAGACAATGTTCAACCATTTCAAGAGATAGCCTAGGATCAAAAGCCAATGATACTGAAGGAAGAAGTCCAAGGTGCACTGAAGATATTGACAAAGAACAAGGCAACACTGGAGGCACTCACTCATCTATGCCAAGAAATTTGGAAGACAGTTACCAGGCCAACTGATTGGAAGAGATCCATATTTGTGCCCATTCCAAAGAGAGGTGACTCAATGGAATGCGGAAACCATCAGACAAGATAAACATTCAAGAAGCTCAACGAACCCCAGGAAGGATAGACCTCAAAAGAAAATCACCTAGACATATCATAATCAAGCTCTCCAAAATCAAAGATAAGGAGACACTCCTGAAAGCAGCTAGGGAAAACTGAAATGTTACATACAAAGGCAAGCAAGTCATATTAAGCTCGGATCTCTCAGCAGAAACCATGCAAGCAAAAAGGCAATGGGGAGACATACATAAAACCCTGAAAGCAAAAAAACTGCCAACCAAGAATTCTTTATCCAGCAAAGTTACCAATCAAATATGATGGTGTAATCAAAACATTCCAAGATAAACAGAAGCTAAGGGATTTTGCTAAAACCAACCCTGTGCTACAAAACAGCCTAAAGGGAGTGCTGTGGACTGAGAACCAACAAGAACAGACAACAACTAGAGATTGACATACGTGGCAACACCTCCCAGAACTAAGTTGACAGAAGGAAGAGTCAAGAACAGAACAAAACTATAAGAACAAACTCAGAGAATCTGGGAGGTCAGTCTTTGATCAAAACTATCACAATGTAAAAGAAGGTAAACACATAGGAACAGAGATCCCGATGGTGAGAAGGTCAGGTAGATTACAGGATAAAGTAGACTGTACTAGATGGAGGTAAAAGTTAATGGCCTATAAGATAACCTCAAAGAATGATTGTGAGAATAATATAGGACAGGACAGTGTTTTGTTCTGTTGGGCATAAAGTTGGTATGAGTCAGAAATGACCTGATGGCACTTAACAACAATGATATCTATCCTGAATCCCCTCCCTTTAGTACACGATAAAGTATAGCAGCTAATATTCCCCAGACTATGTTCATTGGTATCCCAAAACTGTCTGAAACTTGAAAATAAGACAAAAAGGTGGACCATACATCTTTTCAACACTATACAGGTCAATGACCACCAAACATTTTCTAGACTAATGGACTGTACATAGTTAATCTCATTGTTTCCTACTAATTAAAAGTCCCAGACTAAATGAAGCCACATATTAACACACAGATTTTTGTTCAGGAGGGATGCAAATATTTTTTTCTGTCTGATGGAACACATAGTTCAAAAGATTTAGGTCCTGTTGGTTGGACATTAATCAGAAGCCCTGGTGTGGTAAGTTAAGTTTGAGGCTGCTAACGATAGACTTCTTTATGGATTCTCCCACGGAACAGCTGGTGACTTTGAACTGTTGGCCTTTCAGTTAGCAGCCTAAGATCAGATCTTAAGCTTTAAAAATTAATAAAATAGAAATTCCAGGACACTTAACTCTCTCTATTTATTTAAAAGCACACCATGATTATAAGGACATCATAGGAAAAATTGTCCGGTGATTAGAGAGACTCAGCCTTTATATCTAGGCAAATTGCAATTAATATAAACATTTTAGTTATTGCATGCTTTATGGTAAGGACTTGGAGATTTCTCCCTCCCTTTGCTATCCAGAATGCTATGTTCTTATCTTCAGGGGAAATGCTGATAGCGTAGTAGATTACCAGCTCAGCTTCTAACTTTAAGATCAGCAGTTCGAATCTACGAGTTGCCCCACAGGAGAAATCTGAGGCTTTCTGGTCCCATAAATATTTACAGCCTCAGAAACCCTACACAGGGTCACAACTCAGTGGCACACAACCACCACTGATCAAATGCTTATTAAATAGTTATGTACTGTTTCTGATAAAGATTCTTTTTTCTCACCTCCATTCTGATCTTATTCACTATTGGAATAACCACGACCTTTCAGTCTTGTTGTTAAATATGTTTGTGCTTTCTCATAATTACCTGAAAGGAGCCCAGGTAGTACAATGGTTAAGCGCTCAGCTACTAACCTAAAGGTTAGAGGTCGGAACCTACACAGTGACTCTGCCAGAGAACATTCTGGCAATCTGCTCCCATAAGGATTACAGCGTAGCAAACCCTTATGGGCAGTTCTACTCGGTCACATGGGGTCACTGAGAGTTGGAATCAACTTGAGGGTACCCGACAACAACATACTCTGTTATAAGCTGCAGCTCAAAGTCTGGTGGCAAAGGATAGTCCTGGAATAGTTCTGAATTATTGATGCTTTACTTGGCTACAGACTTCCAAACTGACTTTTCATAGACATCTCTAGAACAAGCTAGTGGACTGGGTCAGGATTTCCAGGGGCCTTTGAGTCCAAAAGCTGACAACACGCCCAAGTTCCAACGGAACAAGAAGGAATTACATGGGACTGGATGACCAGGAGTCCAGAAGGGTCTCTAATTGTGGTTATTTCTTTGGAATGTAGTCATTATTATATTTTACTATGAAGAAATCTCTGTCTTCGTGGGTTTTCTCTAACTTAATGTGGTTTATGCTTTTATAAACTGAAGTTAAACATTTAAAATAGTATGTGAATCTTACTGATCCCCTTAGAATTCAGAAATGAATACTTTTGTGGAGTTTCCTTGTTTTCCATGACAATGTAGTTTTCTGCACAAGATTCTACTGAGATCTAATTGAATAAATCAACTGTACAGCTAAGACCCTGCTTAAAGTGTCATATTGGAGGATGGTTCTCATTTAATCAGGTGTGCTGAACCCACTATAAGGAACATACATGGAGCAAACACATGCAAAGTCCTCCTAGGAAGCTGGCCTGGAACAAAATGATAAGGAAGGTCCCTTCTTGGCAGCGGGGGAGACCTTAGAAAAATCAAGGCTCTTAAGAAGA